CTTCTGGGCTCAAGAGAGCGCGACCATTAGCGATATTCTCCGCGACACTAAGGGAAGCTCGCGCAGAGAGAGACAACAAGAAAGACATATGATCCGAAACTTTCGACTGATGCAACTCGAGACACCCGTTCGCGGCGCCGCGAGAAGCAACGATGCGAAACGAAAAACTCTTCTTACCTGTCGTCTCACTCCCTACCTGCCCTCCTATACCGCTGCGCGCATTGCGCTGTCTGTGAACCCATGCAGGGTAGAAGCCCAAATTCTCGAATGTATCCACTGCTTTGAGAGCCAAATCTTTACCGCGACAACAAGAATTACCACCCTCGTCTAGAACCCAAACACCTTCGTCCTTGAAGACGTCAACCGTGCGAAGCTTACAAAGAGCCGAAACTTCGGTCGAAACGTTCTGTGCTGGGGCCATAAAACCGCCAAGACTGCGATATGTGACTTCTGCGACACAGTCGCGAAGCAACGAAGTTAGCTCACCCGTGCTAGTGTCGCCCGTAGCATCGCACATCTCAACGGCGCGTTTAGTGGAAGCCTTTAGCGCAACCTCTATCTCTACAGAGGTGCCGCGGTGCCCATCCTCACTGGCCTTCTCAATTGCTTCTGCATGAGGTGCGTTGCCGGAGAGTTCAACTTTCTTCGGCCAGCTTCCTGGGCTGCTCGTCGACGCATGTCCGGCAGCGACAACAATGCGCAATAGCAATATCTGGAGTGCTGCCGCGAATATCTACGAGATCGTTCGGGCACTCGCCCGGAGAGCGCAGTGCCGTGCACCTCTCCTCTTTGGTCTTGCGCCCGCAATCCTTGCAAGTGCGAGCGATGAAACGAGCGCTAGAACCGACTCCCGAGAGACCCCTTGCAACCTCGAACACATGGATGAAGCAACGGGGGATTCAGAAATCCCACCAGCCCTTTGGGCGTGAGTGGTTTAGAGAGCCCGCTCTGTCCTCAACCCCCCTTCTTCCCCTTCGGGGAGGGGTTCACCCCTCCCCCTACCCCCTACCCCTGGGCCTGGAGAGGGCGGGCCGAGTGCAATCAAGGGGGTCTTTTTCGACGCCTGGGAGGGCAAAAAAAAAACGACGACCCTCACGAGGATTCTGGCCCCGAGGGGGGGGGGGGGGAGGGGGGGGGGCGTTTGGCGCCTCCGCTCGTCTTTGAAGCCAAAATCATTGATTTTACTACGGTTTTGGCTCCATTTTGGCCTTCTGATGGGGGCCGCGCTCATCTTCCTTCATAGCAGAATCATTGAGTTTACGAGAGTTGTGGGCTCATTTTGTCCTTCTCAGGGGGCAGCTCTCATTTGCGCTTCCACGGAGTTCGCACGAGGCCCCAAGATGGCCCCAAGAGGCCCCCAGGAGGCTCCCAAGAGGCCTCCAACAGGCCCCCCAGAAGCGCCCAAGCGGCCCCAACAGGCCCCCAAGAGGCCCCCAAGAGGCCCCCCAAGAGGCCCCAAGAGGCCCCAAGAGGCCCCCAAGAAGCCACCAAGAGGCCCCCAAGAGGCCCCAAGAGGCCCCAAGAGGCCCCCAAGAGGCCCCACGAGGAGCCCGAACGACTCACACCAGGACGAGGGGCCCGAACGACTCACGCCACGAAGAGCCCGAACGACTCACACCACAAGGAGGGGCCCGAACGACTCACACCAGGACGAGGCGCCCGAACGACTCACACCACGAGGAGCCCGAACGACTCACACACGAGGAGCGCTTTCCCTCCCTCCTCCTCCGCCTCGTCCTTCTCCCGCCCCCCCCCCCCCCACAAGGAGGATGCGCAAGGAGGCGGAAGGAAGGAGGAACGGGGGAGATATGCGGGGCCAAGCGGACACACGCCTGAAAGAACACGACTGTCGGCATGCTTCGCAAGAGCTGCTGCTGTGGGATGGGCTGGCGGGGATGCGCGAAGCGTAAAGAATTTCTGGTTCAGGCCAGAAGAAAAACCCGAAGAAAACATAACTCTGTGTTTGGAACCGTTCGGCCCCGAAACTCTCACGCGCCGCCCGCCCCCCTTCCGACCCAAGTTGCTATCGACCCATCCTAGGAACAGAACCAGATCCTCACTTGGTCTTTTCACCTCGCGACCCCCAATCCACGCGGCTTGGGGCACCCCTGAGAACGCGACGATAACTAAGCCCATTGCGCTGACCCGAAGCAAACGCAGTATCCTGACCAGGGACAGAGATAGGATCCGACACAGATTCCTCCTCCTCAAAATCCCCATCAGAAACATTAGCCATCGAGTGAGATTCAGTCGAGCGAACTGCCATAAACCATAGAGTACCCCCTCAGCCTCTGCAGAGGTATGAAGACTATTCTCCTGAAGCTCTGGAGGTCCCTGAACCGGAGCGACTTCGGTCATTCGCATGCAACTCTCACGGACGCGATGCTCGACGTGGTTGCGCTGCAAGCTACGCTGCATGCCCTGCGACGCAAGACGCGAGAAGAGAAGGGGGAGCAGGAGCGAGAAACACCCGGATCCATCCGCATCGACTCCTCATTGCTCCTAATGATACGATGAAGGGGTTGATGGCGATGCAGCAACAGAATTGACGGATGTGAACTTTCATTCGCCATCGTCATCGCGCAACTGGACATGGCGCTCGCCAGTGTCTCCAGTGTGCGCTACCATCGCCGTCCTCGGCTTGCCCTTGCATTCAGGGTCCCTGGGCCAGTGGCCTGTTTCGTGGCAGGTCTTGCATTTCAAGCGTTTCTTGATCTCCTGGAGCCGCTTCTTGCGATCTTCCAGGGAAGGTCCCCCCTTGCCGCCTCCCATGGGCGACCAGGGCGTGCAATGGTAACTCTTGCCTCCGCTCTTTCTTTTGCCCTTGCTCCTCCCTTTGGTGCCAAGGTTGGCAACCAAGTCCTCTTGGATCGCGTCAGAGGCTTCTTCCTCCGCGCATCCGGCCTTGACCACCTCGCCGACCACCTCGACGTCGAGCTCGCTGCTATCCTGGGCAGGTGACCAGTGAGCATGCGATTCCTCGTCGACGTAGGTGCGTTCGTCGGCGTAGTCGCCCCAGGCCGTGTAGTCCCAGCCATGCTCTGGCGCATGGCCGGACGCGTAGTATCCGTAGGGACTCAGCTCCTCAGGGATCAGCAGTGTAGAAGGCGCGTCGTGGTCTGGAGAAGCGCACCTTGCCCTTGCCCTTGCTCCTGCTCTGGTAGCTGGGTCTGGGCTGCGTCCACGTCGAAGAGCTGGAGCCATTACCAGACTCACCCTTGCTTTTTTGGGCGGATGTCGATGCGGCCGTGCTGGAGGATCAAGGCGTCCTTGATCTTGTCGAAGGTTGTCGCATTTCCCGCTGGTGTCAATACCATCAGGTTCTCCGGAGGCGGGAGGCCTGCATGGTCCAAGAGAAGGGAGCCAAGCATATCGTCACCCATCAAGATCTCAGGATCTAACTTGGAGACAAGTTTCCACCAGCGCTTCCTTCGGGAGATGTGCGGGGCCAGGGACTCACCGTGCTGTCGAAACAATGGTCCATGTGGTCTCTGCCTCACCTGGAATAGGATCTTCGCTTCCCGCGCCTCTATGGGGAAGGGTGAAGTAAGAATCGCCAGCACCAGCTGATCGATCCCATTCGGAGTCAGAAGCACGTCCTTGCCGAGATCCATGGCACGATCGAATGCGTCACTTATGAGGCCTTCTACAACCTTGCTGACAGCTGCGGTGATCACGTGCTGCTGTGGAGCACCTGTCTCTTGATCCACTGAGGCCAAGGCGGTATTCATGCGCATCTCCGTGCGGAATTTCCACTCGTGAAAGTTGTTCACCGTGCCGTTGTAGATGTAGGAAACACTCTTCGTCTCGGACCGCGTCAGCGCTCGGCCGATAGCGAAGAAAACAAAGTGCCATGGCGCAGGGCTCAGTCCCCTAGCGAGGGAAACTGCCAGTACAGAAACTAAAGAGAGTTAGTGCGACACTCTCTGACGAGTCGCGCGCGCGCAGTGGTACGATACGGGGATCGTGTGGTAGCTCCGCTACCAGTGTGATTATGATGTTTTGTTGGCGCAATGGCAAAGAAAGGGGCCCTAGAGGTCAAACGGCGGCGAGTGGCGCATATACACGCGTGACACATGCACTATCTCACACACCGCCTTCCGCCGCGGATGAGATGACAACTCCTTCGTTCCTCGAAGGCAAAGCCCTTTTTGGAACGCCCCCTGTATGGTCCAAGCGGGTTCCAAGAGGACCTCCAAGAGAGCACGAAGATACTCAAAGCATAGATTTCTCAAAAAGGTTTCGAACGTGTATCGCGTTCTCGCCTTCCTTCGAGGTGTTCTGCCAGCCCAATGACGGACCGAGCGACACCCAAGAGGGCTCCAAGACGGTCCAGGAGGCCCCCAAGAGGCGCACACGACGGTCAGCGCCTCCTTCAAGATGGCCCGAGAGGCCTCCCAGACGGCCCACTAGAGGCCGCCAGACGACTCAAGAGACCCCCAAGACGACCCTTCAGGGCCTCAAGAGGGCGCCACGATGGCACAGAGAGGTATCCAATACGAACTCCGAGGGTGCCAGACTGTCCAAGATCACCCTAAGACAGCCCAGTCCCGAGGAGGCCCCAAGAGACCCCCAATAGGTCCCCAAAAGACTCCACGAAAGGAGGGGCGAAAAGGCAGGGAGTAAGACGACGACGGACGCGAAGAGAGACGCCCCGACACGACGCGTAAAATCGTGTCACATGCTACGGTCCCAAGCCTCGGACGGCCTCCTGTGCGCTCCTCGAGTTCTGAGCTGGTACGGTGGCGGACTCGCCGCAAGCAAAAGTGACCATGATGGTGACAATGAGGCAGGGGGCAGGAAGAGGAGGATGATAATGAGGAGAGAGGATAAAGGAGGATAGCAAAGAGAAGCAGGAAGAGGGGGAGGAGGAGGAGGAGGACGAGGCGCAGGCGTAGCAGAAGGAGGAGCAGGAACAGGAGGAGGAGGAGGAGGAGGAGGACGAGGAGGAGGAGGGGTCAGGATGAGGACAAAGATGAAAGGAATGTGAGGGACGCGGCCTCGTTCCACTCCATCTGGCATTCGAACTTCCAGGTGTCCGCGATTTCCTGCATCTCGCGCCTGCTGAAATGCTCGGCCAGAACCGCCAGCCCCGGGCTTCCCCCCCAGGGCACTGGACGCAGCGGGGGTAGGCAATGGACCTTGTGGGCAGAGCTACCTGCGCGCTGCACGCTTATGGCATCGATGCTGATGATGACGATGCTGTCTGCGCGCCACCCGACGCCTCGCCAGCGTGACCGGTCGTTCCCACGGCACATCACGTCACCAGCGATCTTGGCGGGAGGCTCACTCCGAGGGAGCCCGCTTGCTTCTGGCTCGTTTCGCGTTGCTGGCGCTGTTGCCAAGAGGCTCACTCTGGGTCGAACCCGCCGCACGAGAAGGTGCTGTTCAAATTCTTCGAGGGTGGTTGTCATGTAGATTCCAGCCTCTCGTTTTGCCTCGTCGCTTTCTCCAGCGCTGCCCTGCTATTATGTTGTTTCGACATCGCAGGGCCCTTCAAGATCTCCTCTGACCAGCATGCAGAACATGTTCGTCCACTGTTTGTCCTTGTTCGCCAAGTCGCCCGACATCTGGGCCAGTTGCGCATGGCCCTCTGCGCGAAAGCTGCTTGGCACAAACAATCACAAACCGAAGCCATCTTAATCTCGCAGCGTGCGCCGGAGGCCGCCTGGGAAAAAGCCAGAGACACCAGTACGGGTGGTGATGATCTGGATGAATCACGGGACGTCCGAGAGGCGACTGCCGTCGACGGTGATCGAGAGGGCCTGTGCAACCCGGCGGTGTGGAACACCAGTCCTTGGCATATGACGATTGCACAGGGCATGCTCGGGCGGGCCCGCCGACTGATTTCTGCCTCGCGTCTGGCACGAGGAGACCGTGCAGCTCCATCGCGGAAGCTCACTCACGGGGACGAGGCCGTCATGACCATCGCCAAGATCCTCATCGCCTGGACGGCGTGCTCCTGAAAGCGCTGGCTCCACGACGCCGGGCCCACCCCGGCGACTGGAAAGAAGAAATGGGCCGCCAATCCGTCGAGCCTACGGAGGTTTCCAGGCTCGGCACCGCAGGCGCCGCAGGCGTGCTCCGTCGCATCGAAGCGATGCGAAGGAGGGTGCCTGCCGCGGGGCCTCTCATAGGCCCCCGCCTCCCTCCGGCCGGGGCTGCCGAGCTGGCCGCGCGCCATGCCCTTCCTTGGCAGGGCTGCTCGAGTTTTGCACTTGGGGATTAATGGCACTCCCTGCTTGTCAACCCAGGTCAGAAATCAAGACCCCCCTGCGGTACCGTGAACTGCGATCCGAACACAGATCCGCCGGCACCCCTTGTGGGGCCACCAGGCTGTAGGCGCGGGTTCGCAGTTTCCAGTACCAGTTGTAGCTTGTAGTTTCCAGTGTTACAGTTCTGCTTATTGCTGGTTACTGTAACTAGTTGATTGACCGCGCGAGGGGGGGGAGGCCCAAACAGGATTTTTTAGCACCCCCTGGGCGCGTTGTCTGAATTGCTGGGGGGGCTCGAAATCGACACCCCTCACGCAGATCCGCGGGGTCAGGGTCCAAAAACACAGGGAATTTGCAACATTTCTGAAATTCGGTGCCACCCCTCATGCAGATCCGCGAGGTCAGGGTCCAAAACACACAGGGGATTTGCCACATTTCTGAAATTCGGTGCCACCCCTCACGCAGATCCGCGGGGTCAGGGTCCAAAAACACACGGAATTTGCAACATTTCTGAAATTCGGTGCCACCCCTCACGCAGATCCGCGAGGTCAGGGTCCAAAAACAAAAGGGATTTGCCACATTTCTGAAATTCGGTGCCACCGCTCATGCAGATCCGCGGGGTCAGGGTCCAAAAACACAGGGATCTGCCACATTTCTGAAATTCGGTGCCACCCCTCACGCACATCCGCGGGGTCAGGATCCAAAAACAGTAGAGATTTGCCACATTTCTGAAATTCGGTGCCACCCCTCGCGCAGATGAGCGGGGTCAGGGTCCAAAAACATATGGGATTTGCCACATTTCTGAAATTCGGTGCCACCCATCATGCAGATCCGCGGGTCAGGGTCCAAAAACACAGGGGATTTGCCACATTTCTGAAATTCTGTGCCACCCCTCACGCAGATCCGCGGGGTCAGGGTCCAAAGACACATGGGATTTGCCACATTTCGGAAATTCGGTGCCACCCCTCACGCAGATCCGCGGGGTCAGGATCCAAAAACACAGGGGATGTGCCACATTTCTGAAATTCGGTGCCACCCCTCACGGACATCCATCGCAAGGCGTGGTAACCCAAACTGCGAGTACTCCCTCGGCCCTTTAATCCCAAGGTGTGGTAACCAAGCTCGTAAACCATACACGTCTTACCAATCGCCCTGTGTGGTAACCCCTCTTGTGATCAGTTGGTTTTGCCGATTGCGAATCGGCCTCGCATAAAGTTCCGATACTGCTGCGCGACAGCGCCAAAGCCTCATGACTTAGCTCTTCCATGGCCCATTCTCCGAGAGAGGGGGCCGGCGGCAGGGGGCGAAGCCCTTACAGATAATCCGCGGGAGCGGAGGCAGCGGAACGATGTCTTTAGCGACGCACCGAGCCGCAACACAGAAATAATTATTGTCCCCGACATCTGTAGCCACCTCGCCACGTTCGCGGGTTGCTCCTCGCCGCTTTCGAGTGACTGGGGGTTTCAGAAGAGTGATAAACAACGGCCATGTGCCAGAGTGCCATGGTAATGATTCAGGGTGCTTGGTGCGTCATCGTTTCACCAGAAGGGGGGTGCTTGAATTGCCGAGCAGGGTTAATCCTTCCATTTCCAGTAGCTCTATTCCCTACTAAATTGCCCCCCGATTCCCTCATGCACCCCCTCCACCCTTCCTCTTTCCCCTCAGATGCCCCGCCCACCTTCGCCCCTCCTCCTCCGCCTTTCCTGTAGTCTCTCCCTCCCTTGTCCCTCATCCCTCCTTACTTTTTTTCTGCCACCCAGTTCTTTCCTTTCTCTTTCACCCCCCCCCGTCGTTTCTCCGACCGTTCCCCTCCACCCTCCCCCGCACCCCCCCCACGCCTTTCCCTCCTCGGTTGCCCTCACCTTCCTCGCTGCTAGCCTCACTGCCTCCTAGGTCTTTCACATCAGCCCCCCCTCTTCCCTTCGCCTTCCTCTCCCCTCCCTCTGCCCTCCTTCCCCCCGAGCGATCGTTCTGGGGAACGGCCGCCAACTTCCCTACTTTTTTCCGACACTGGATTTCAACTGTCAAAGGCATGCGAACGCAGCCACTGGGGCCTTCGGTGGAGCTCCCTATGGGGCCACGAAACGTGTGAGGGGTGTGCCGAAATGGGTGGTGGGGGGGCATGCGAACGCAGGAGGGAGGAGGGCGAGGAGAAGGAGGAAAAAGGAACGCGGGGACCGTTTCTTCAAAACGAGGACCCAACACCACAGGATGGTTGGGAATGAAAAATAAATCATTAGCACATCTCGCAGCGAAACACTGTTTTGGCAGATCATGGGCGATGGATTCGTTTGACTCGCCGGGGCCCCCTGTTTGGACGCCCTCGCGGGGCGCCCGCCGAGCGTTTTTGCACGACCGCGCGCCGGCAGGCGACCGCGCTCTGCATGCCGGGCTCCTGGCCGCGCGTGGGCCTTGCCGGTGCGGGCGAGAGCCCATGCGCGGGAGGCCGCGAGCCTTGCCCGCGCCCGGCCCGCAGGACCGGAGGTGCCCGCCGCCCGCGCGTGCAGCTGGCCTTCGCGCCAGGATGTGCGGCGCGTGAAGCCGTGGATCCATCCGGCCGTGTGCTCGGGTTGCCTGCCCGTGCCGCTGCGCGGGTGGCGTGCCCGCCTGTTTTTTTTTTTTTTTTGTTTGTTTTTTTTTTTTGTTTTTTTGTTTTGTTTTACGCCCGTGCTCTGGGCGAGGGCAACTCGTCTGGCATCTTGCTTCTGCGCCAGCTTACGCCACGAAGATGACTACATGTATATATATATGTATATATACATATATATATATATACACACACGCACACAGACACCCTCCGACGATCTTTGCATGTACCTTCAGGGAGGGTGGCGGTGTAGAAAGTCGCTGGCTCTCAGTGGTGATTTCTACACCGCCACCCACCCCGAAGGCCCAGGAACAATCCATCGGAACGCGTCTGTGTATATATATATATATATATATATATATATATATATTTGTGGCGGGCAATTCTCCCGAGGACGAGTGCGAGCAGCGGCACTTCGCAAAGATCCTGGGGACGGCCCTTGTCACCCTGTGGACATCCCAACGAGAAAATGTGCCAGGACAGATCCTGGGCCCGATGTTGGCATCGCGCTGGCGCCTCTTGTTCGGGGGAGCACGCGCGCGCGCCGATGCGCGCGGGAGGGTTCCGCTAGTGGTGAGTTCAGTCTGCGTGCTTCCGTGCAGCGAAGTGGCTTGCGCTGACCCCCTCCGCCCCCTTCCCTCCCATCCCTTCCCCCATCCCTCTCCGCCGACCCCCCAGGTGCTCAACGGTGCGCCTGCAGCCGCGCCAGGTCATCCTTTCGCGAGCGAGCTCGCACCACGGCGGGGGAACCGCGGCCGGAAGGAAGCGGCAGCCGCGAGGAACGGGCCTCAGGCGAAAGCGCCCCCCAGCCCACGCGCCCACGAAGTGGGCGGTCGCCGCCAAGAAGGCGGCCCCTTCAAGAGCAAGAGCGCAGATAATTTGCGTGCAAAACTGGATATCGGTGACAACGCCACGCGTGAGAGCACTGGTTCGGGCCGGAGACTCAGGAACAGGCCGCGATCAAGATTTGTGATGAGGAGTTCCCCGGGCTCTCATTCGAGGAAATGAAAGATCGTGGCAAACGGGCTCGACGGAAGAACATTCCATGGAACTGCCCGCCCCCTCCGTAGCCACCCCCGCGATCTCCACAGTGGTGAACGCCAGGGGGATTCGCCGCGTTTCCCTCGGTGGCGGGGGCGGCTGCGAAGTTGAACGCAGCGTGGAGATCGGGTGCAGCCCGTGAGCGGACCAATCCCAATTCATCGAATCTCAGAGGGCAAAACAACGCAGTGAGAACTGGCGGTTTCAATCCCACCAGCCCTTTGGGCGTGAGTGGTTTAGAGAGCCCGCTCTGTTCTCAACCCCCTTCTTCCCCTTCGGGGAAGGGGTTTACCCCTCCCCCTCCCCCCTCCCCCTGGATGGATGGATGGATGGATGGATGGAACGCTGGGGGGGCGCCGCGTCTCAGTGCGATGGCTTGCTCATCTAAGGGCGATGCTCTGCCTTATGGATTGCCCCCTGCGTGGAACTCAAAAGCGGTCGAGGGGCTAACGCTTCTATACCGCAGCCTGGCCCGCTGGAGTGAGGGACCGCCTAGCCTCTCTCTCCAGTGGACCGTCGGCAGGGATGCATAAGCATGATCCCACCGCTTTACACCTCGGAAGCCCTACGCCTCCCCCACCTGCCTCCTATGGGGCGCGGGGAGGAGGACGACGCATCAGCCTGTAAGCGTCTGCTAACATCTCTCTCGATTTGCTGCTACCTGCTGCTGCCATGCGCTCAAGAGGGCGCCCCGCGGGTGGTTGGAGGGGTCTTTTGCGACTCCTGGGAGGGCTAAAAAACGACACCCCTCACGAGGATTCTGGCCCCGACGGGGGGAGGCAGAAAAATGCTCCCCTCTTCTTTGAAGCCAACATCATTGATTTTACTACGGTTTTGGCCCCATTTTGGCCTTCTGAGGGGGCAGCGCTAATTCAAGCTCCCCTCTTCTTTCAAGCCAAAATCATTGATTTTACTAAGGTGTTGGCCCCATTTTGGCCTTTTGAGGGGGCAGCGCTAATTAAAGCTCCCCTCTTCTTTGATCGATTTCCTCCAAGATGGCCCCAAGAAGCGCCCAGGAGGCACCAAGAGGCCCCAAGATGGTCCCAAGAGGCCCCCAGGAGGCCCCCAAGAGGATCCCAAACGGCCCAAAGAGGCCCCCCCGAGGCACCCAAGACGCCGAAAAGCCCATCAGGACGACCCTCTACTCGCCTGGGCGTCGTTTCTGGACGGGCAGGAGGAGGGGCCCGAACGACTCACACCAGGACGAGGGGCCCGAACAACTCACACCACGAGAAGCCCGAACGACTCACACCAGGACGAAGAGCCCGAACGACTCACACCACGAAGAGCCCGAACGACTCACACCAGGAAGAAGGGCCCGAACGACTCACACCAGGACGAGAAGCCCGAACGACTCAAACCACGAGGAGCGCTTTCTCTCCCTCCTCCTCCGCCTCGTCCTTCTCCCGCTCCCACCACAAGGAGGATGTACAAGGAGGCGGGAGGAAGGAGGAACAGGGGAGATATGCGGGGGCAGGCGGAAACACGCCTGAAAAACACGACTGT